TTACAAATGCAAAATGGATGTTTGTTTTTTTTCAAATAGGCCCCCATCTCTCTCCAATTTAGGTTGTTCGTAGATCCACACTGTGAAGCTAATGGGTGGCTGTTGTCAAAAAAACAAAAGCAGACCGTGACTCTGCAGTGTGTCACATCTGCTGTGTGAGAGGGCCGCTTCAGCCTTCTATTCATTATTAATAATACTAGATTTCTTCTGGGTACCGACACAGGAAATGTAATTACTTTGTATTGCCCACAAGTTGTCATTTCCTAAAGTGCCATCAGGAAAATAAGAGTCATTAAAGCATGTGCCCAGCCAAGAACGAAAAGTAATAAAGACACACAGTGCGAACACATGCCTACGTTTCTGCTGTGCGCACACACACTCTCTCTCAGATCAAGGGCAGGGCAAAAGTGCTCTCTCTAAAATATCCAGATGGGCGATGCATTACAAAGCTCTCAGAGGCTTGTTCACTTTGGCCATGACTGCACCATATAGACACACTAATGCCATAGATAGACAAAATGAAACCACTTGCAGTAGCTGTGCCAGGATTGGAATGAACTGCAGAAAAACTGGCTCGTCTGTTCAGGCAGGGCTCTCCTGTGATTCATGTGTTGCATAATTCCATGTTATATCAACCTTTCCTGTCTTTCAGATCAGACATTCATGAGTCAAATTAAAAACTGTGGGCTCTAACGATTCATTACACGTCTGCTCAATAATACTCATTCTGCTCAATGATGTGTTTTATATTTACTCTCGCAGTAAGCCTCCACATTCAACAACTGTATATGTTACAATTCAAGTTGATTAATGATAAAATGTTCTATAATGTTATGTTGTCACTACCACAACAACACAACACAAAACAATTCCTAAAACAGATAGTAAGCAATACACAGACTTCTAAGAACTGAGTTAAGAATATTACAATAAGCAATGTAAAATAAAGTAATATACAATTTAATTAATGATTTTAAGGAGCTATTATTATATTATAAATCAAATCAAAAAAATTATAATATTTCATTAGTAGTAGTAGTTCACTGCAAAACAGGATTTTTTTCATTCTCTCAGTGCCATCTTGTGTACATGGCAGTGAATTGCAGACAGTATCACGGTGCAGCAGTACTGAGGTTCAACAGACAGTGTCGCCCTTGGGCCATGCCAGGAACATCAATACTAGATGACCTGCAGTTTTGGGCAAGCAGGAAGAAGGTAGATAGTGAGAGAACAAAATGGAATAGACTATGAACTTCATTGCCTCAAAGGATAAACAATGTTTTGTCTTTACCCTGATGGTAAGGATATGTCTAGTTTTGACTTATTGAGCAGTGTCATCCTGTAATACAAACATATCACAATTGATATGTAACAGTGTAGAGAAACTGTGAAAAAACATTATTCACTTAAAGGGGACCTATCATGCAAAATGCACTTTTGTACGTCTTTTATACATGAATATGTGTCCCCGGTGTTCCAGGGAACTCACCAAGTGTCAGAAAACACAACCCTCTCTATTTTCCTCCATACCCAAATCTCTAAAAAAGGGGCTGCAACGGATCTGATAAAAACTGATCCAGATTTGAACACTGTCCTGACGTCAGGACGGTGGCGCTACGGCTATTGGGCCAACTCCACCAATCAGGAGGAGACAGCCACGGCCATTGCCGTTCGAAAGCGCTGGAGACGCTGTAGTACATATGCCAGGCCTGTAGATGGTGCTGTTCTCACTGAATCTGCCCTTGCTAAAACAGATCTAAAAAATGTCAAATTGAGCAAAATGAGGCATGGCTAAAATGCATGATCTGTTTGGTATTTTTTTTTTTTTTAAGTATAAATATGCCTTATATAGGTATGGTCCTACACTATATTATTCAAATATAGCATGATAGGTCCACTTTAAAATGTCATGTTTTTCAGCCTTCTCATATACGATATATATATACACAATATGATTTGTGTAATATTGTATACTTTGCTTGCTAGCCGTTCAATTTCAATAATACAACTATATATATGTAGTCAAGGATGACTGATGAAGATTATATTTTTGGGGTAAATTAGCATTGTTCCAAACAAATAAATGTTTAAATCATTTGCAAACAATATCCAGTTAAATGTCAAAACTCCAGATTTGGACTTTAAACCTGTTGCAGAGGCGATATGGATACGTACGTTTATGTTTGTCTTAAGTTTACTACCGCACAACCCCCCAAAAAGGAGTGGGCAGTCTTACGTCATTGTTTTGCAAAAGCTCCATTTAGTCCACACACACTAAAAGACAAGCTGGCATTTAACATGTATCCACTCTTTGGAGCGAAATAGTAGATTTTACTTTATGAATGAGAAACACACCAGCTTAGCATGGAGAGAGGGGTTCTAACTGAGTTAAAAAGATGTTTTTAAATGTATCCGACTTAATATGGACATACTCTAATCGAATCATGGTAATACGATTGCTGATATTTTATGGACTGTCTAAGCAGTGCAGTTGCTCAACACAGACACTCCCATTCCCCCTGGATCCTATTGTGAATGTGTGCAGTGAGCTGGCTCATTGGGCCCTCATGGTGAATGGCCAGCATCCATTCACTCAGCATACAGAAGCTCATTAGAACTCTATAGACACACAATTGTGAGGCTCACATTAGAAACTTCCTCCTCTGAGGCACAGACACCGCACACAAAGTGCCAGTTTGCTGCTAAGCTAAGCGCATTGTCTCCTTGATTCATAGAGCTTGGCCCTCCATTCACGATATTAAGTTCGAGTGGTGGAATATCAATTGCGTGTGCAATGGGCCGGTATCTTTTTAAGAGCTTTAGTGGGGTTAAAAAGGAGAGAAAAGGGATCTCAGCAAGTCTGCAAAGTGCTAGCTTTCAACAGGGCCATTGTGGGGGTTTTGAATGAAGGGACCCCTGTTTTTTTTCCCTCCAATTCTAAAAAGAGATGGACATCAAATACATTCACATGAACTTGCTTCAGGGTGTTTCCAAGACCTACTGTTTGAGAATAGCCTAATTATACCTCCCTTTCTTGGAGAGCTCAATTGGAATCTGGCTAATTACGAAGTGGTGAATCTTAATGATGATACGCTCTTAGCAATGCCTTTAAAATCGGCACACAAGTCACGTGAGATTGGTTCATCTAAACATGTTAAATGTCGATGAACACAGAGAAATATATGATTATTAGAGGAATAAATTATGCTTTCAGGAGCGTTGTTAGTTCTAAGGTGCTTCTAACAGCTTTAGCTACACTTTCCCATTCAATGCTGAAAGTCTGATTAAAGAAGACTGTTTTTGCTGTAAGAAAAAAGCTAAACAAACATCCTCAATGTAATCACATAAAAATAACTTGACCACATGTAGATCATTAGTCAGAGAATAAACAAATACAGTTATTGAAAACACAGATAGCTAGGTTAGATCCTGTTTTCTTTCTGTCATATGCACAAATGACTCTCCACCTAACAAAAACCCATGGGGGACTATCAAAGCCACGAGTCTATATGAAGCATGTTAACACACACTCACTACACAAAAGTAGATAGCGCAGACTTGCTAACACTCATCATGTGACAGACCGCTATGCCTTCTCCACCAGTCTGAGGAATAAAACCTCAAATTTGATTACAAGCAACCTTTGGCTCCCTGGCCATCGCACAATAGGCTGAGCTGTCTGGGCCAATTTCCATGCTCAGCATGAGGTATCTACACGCGCAGGCTGGCGCTGCCTGCCACCCCCCCATACCCCCCAACCAGTGTGGATATGCCTGTTTACTGTGCCTAAAGTCCGGGTCTGTCGCCCCTCTTGTTGGACTTCCTATTATGATACTGAAGATCATTAGTTGCAGTGTGAAAGGTTACACAAGCTTTTCATTGGATTTGTTTGTACCAAAACATCCCTACATGCATGTGTGTGTTTGTATGAAACTTTCTTTTTTTACATTTGCAACCTCCAAATATGCGGTGTATGCCCCCACTACACCGACGATGGGCACAAAATAAATATTCAAGTGACTGAGTCTAATGCCCGGAGCTACATGGATATCTCAAAGATTACATATCCTACCAGGAGGTTAACCCCTTCATAAATGTAAAATATAGGTTTTGACTGGCACATTAACAAGCCTAAAAGTTACCAATATTAGACAAACTGATTGGTGTTACTCCATAAACAAAAATGCTGGAAATGTCAAATATATGGATTGTGGAAACATCGCTATTTGAAAGACAATTACAAATTGTGAGTATGTGTATATTATGTGAAATACAGTCACAACAACTTTTTTTACAAGTTATATAAAACAATAAAATAAATTAAGTAGTAAAAGTAAAGTTGAATTATATGGAACAATGAATTCAAGTCCTATTTTGCAGTTGTATACAATTAAAACAACAACTTTTGAAAAATGCTAACCAAATTGATTAAGGAGAAAATGTGTTGGAAAGGTAATTGCATTCCTTTGTCAACCAATATTTATCCACACTAAAGTGGCTTGTTTTTGGATCGTTTTGCAATCAAGAGAACCCTCACAGAGCAATGCTGCTGGATCGAAACTGAAAAAAAGCAGATTGCAAATGAACTGCTCAGGGGTTGGAATGAGGCACAATGGGAGGCAGGAGAAAAGAGAAAACTATTTACTACTGGGGAAGACTGTTTGGTGCATGTTAAACTTTGGCCAGCAGTTCATTGTCTCTGGTGTCTATCATTTAATAGGCTAGTTGACATAATGAATGAGCCAGACCCACCTTCTGCCACTCTAGAAAGGCCCCAGCCTTATCTGAATTGAGAAGCACATTAGAGCCTCTCAGCCAATCACGACACAGCCCTGTAGCAAAGTGCAGGGCGAAAGAGGAAGAGCAGAGAACTTTTGTTTTCCTCAGAGTTTAATGAAGTTGGCCTGGTCACTCAAGAAAGGATTAAAGGAGAATTTAGTGTCACTGAGCTGTGACTGCTGAAGAGGGAACTCAAGTGTTCGGGTCACTGTGTGAACAGGATGCTCTCAGTGCAGAGCTGCACCAGGAGGAATATGGCAGGCTCTCCTCCTGCTTTTCCCGGCTTTGGTAACTCTGGAAAGAGTTTTCTTATTGACAATCTGCTGCAGTCACAGACACCTTCAGCCCGCCCAGAAACAATACAAGGTGGACACCTGCGACGGGCCGCGTGTGAACGACCGAGGAGAATCTGGGGCTGTGAGCATGGAGCCTACCAAAGCCAGGGCCACAGTCCCCAGCGTAGGAAAGACTTGGGAGTACCCCTTCTACAACACACAGGTAAACAGGTTTTTATTCAAGCAGATCTGATATTTTTATATTTTGTCAAGGACTTTAAATATGTGAAGCTAGATGTTTACATGTCAGACAATGTTTTATTATTTGTATTTTATTTCTGGAATATTATTAAATATTGTTAAGTTTTTTAAGTGTAATACATTCTCAATTTTAAGATGGACATTATAGGTTTTAAATACATTTTTGGGAATTATATATTTATCCTTGTTAAGAAAGTACAGCGTAAGTAACTGACCTACTGCCATTTTTTTTAACTTGTTTAAAATAATGTAATCAAGGAAGACCATTTCAATTTCTCTGCTTTGCTTTTAGCATATAACTGTTGGGTACCACTTTACAATAAGACTACCCTTATAAAGGGTTTACGAATAGTTTGTAATTCATTTATAAATTAGGTTGTGAACACTTTCTAAATCATTAATAAGCTTTTATAAGACATGAGATAAACAGGGCAACTGTGACCGGTTGCTTGCCAAATAGAGAGCCCACATTTATCTGTACTGCTAAGCCTTATATTGGCTACCTAGCTTACTTCGTCTTCTTCATCAGCCAGCATCCTTGGTATCTGTTGCTCACTGAGTTGATTCTCGCTAAGTAGCCAATATAAGGCTTAGTCATCTTGCCAAATACTAAGCCCACATTTATCTGTACTGCTAAGCCTTATATTGACTACTTACAGTAGCTTACTTTCTGTTCTTCATCAGCCAGCATCCTTGGTATCTGTTGTTAACTGAGTTGATTCTTGCTGCGTAGCCAATATAAGGCTTAGTCATCTTGCCAAATAGTGAGCCTGTGTTGATGTATGAAAACTATGTTAGAGCTGGTTTATAAATGGTTCTTAATGATTAATAAAGTGTTTACAACCTAAATCATAACCTAATTATAAACCCTTTATGAATCCTTTATAAGGGTAGTCTTATTGTAAAGTGGTACCAACTGTTGTATACTACAAAAGTAAAGAGCAACCGTGCGGCCTCCTATATAAAACTTAAATTATGAAATATATTTTTAAATGATGATTGCAGGTCTGTGTAAACTGTTGACATACTCAGGATTGGGGAAAACTGACTTTTTAATAATTGGGTACTACAATATTTGTTTAATATAAAATATAAAATATTTACATTTTAATTCATGGAAGAAAACTAGCAAATTATTACTTTTAAAACATATATGTAAAACGCATTAAATGTTTTGCATTGATAAGAAATAACACTAACTGCTCAAAAACAATGTGTTCATTGACAGAGCAAAAAGGATTATTTGCAATTTATTTTCTGACCTAATTTGTGAATATTTTTTATTTCTTTTGGATAATGTAGTCTTCAAATCAAATGTAGTTCTAAAAACATCGAAATATCAAATAAAATGCTGAAAAAATGTAGATAAACATTTGACAGGGTAAGACTCAAAATGCCTCAGAAGTGGGCGATGATCCAGATACAGTTCCTTGTGAAATATTATACCCGTCTCACCCAGTTACAACATGAACATATCTGATTATTCCTATCTCTCTTTGCAGGTGTACTGAGCAGTGTATTCCTGCCGAGCCCACATTATCTGCTGGCATGCTGCGAAGGCTCCAGCCCCCCTCCTGTCTTCTCCAGTGAGTGTTTTATGCCTCATCAGCAATGCCTCAGCTACTCTCTAAGCATTAGTAGCAGGGTCTCCCATGCTTTCCACAGCTAATTACCGATGCAATGCCAAAGAGCTAATTCTCCGCTCAACTCTGCACGGCTCTATTCATAACCATTCACGGCTGTTTAGTATAGGGAAGAGGGGTGGGTTGCAAGGCTTTTAAGAGTCCCTGGGGCCCCCTATTTTGTTCTTGCAAATACACACTTTTACTAACACAAATATGCAGAGCTAATACACATCTTGTCTTCTGTCATATTAAGATTATAATTACCAGGTGTGAATTTCTTCCGCTGACTAAGAAAATGTGTTTTTATCGCTTAGCACTCTTTCACCAATAAGTTTCGTTGTGAATCCAAACCGCTTCAAGTTATATTTTCAGGCTGCATGAATTTTATAAACATCCAGAAAATCCTGTAATTACCCTGAAACATTAAAGTTTTCTCTGAATTGTGCTTGACATCTTTAAGTGAATTCAAACTTGTTGAAAGTGCTAGTGCTTAATCGCAATCTACTAGTATTCATTATGTTAAACAAGCCATCTTATTTTGGCACTATCCCACAGCAACTGGAAGTTATTAGTTTATTCAATCTACGATGCCTGTCAAATGTTGTTGAAAAAAGCACAAATCAGAAAGCCCTCATCCCACAGGTCCCTGAAGTCTTCTTAGTAGGTTGACACTTTCCCACAGTGCCCAGCAACTCAACAATGCAAAGTTGGCCGTGACCAATTGGCACATTCACTTCACCATCCACACGCGACCTCACTGCAATTTTTCACTGCAGCAATGAACTCCGCTTAGCACAAAAAACTCGCCCATTTCTCTACAGAAGAGGGCTGGACCAGGAACATCCCCCGGCCATTGTGTAGCTAAAGAGCTTGGTCCGCCAACCCCCCTCCTTTCTCCTGTCCTTCAACTCTCATTCCTGGCCATTTGAAACTTCTTGACTAGGACATAAAGCATTCAAAGAAAGTGACTTTTATAGACTTATTCGAGCTCATCTTCACATACAAACTGGCTTCATACCTGCAAGTGAAAAGATTTAGTGTTGGGCCACTGAACCATCGAGTAATGGCATTTCCATTGAAGGGCTCTATTGTGGGTGTCCCACAGGGCTCTATAGCTGGCCCACTAGGGTAGACACACACGTTGCCCAGGAATGACCTGGTAATCAGCTATTTAACTGAAAGCCATTGAGTCCCAATAGAGAAGTGAGAAGCATGTCCAAACCTGTTATGTGCTCCCTAGAGGTGGTCTATGCGCAGATTTGTCGTACAGATTAAAAAGGCAACATTGAATAGATGGCTAAATTGTTCCACTTGACTTTTGTTGTGCGTGCACCTGTGAGTGAAGTAGCGTGGGATTGCTCCTCACAGTTCACCAAATCCCTTTTTCTCAGATGAAGTGGCTTTCTATTCTCTTTAGTCACCCCCAGTTTGTTAAATTTAACAAAAAGAAAAAGAGAAATCAAAAGTGAGGGCCAAAAACAGGCATGATCCCGGGTAAAGAATGTAGGAAATGAGATATGGTTATATTTATTGTGGACTTAATTTGGATTTTAGCACTTTGAATCAAAATATCCATAATCAAGACACTTGAGAAATTGGACCAAAATGCGGTTAAATCTCAATTCAAAACAACTGCTGAATTCCCATGGTTGCTGCTTCTAGCTTTTTTTCTTATGAGGTTAGCATTTTTTTCCACAGTCCATCAATATCATATTCATCGGATTTACCATTATTAATATATGTGGGTTTTTCTTATGTTTCAGAGGGAGCAAATATTCAAATGTGGTCTGCTGATATAAGTCCTAAATCACGCAGAGGGATCCTTAGGAGAGCTGTGTTCTCTGAAGAACAACGGAAGGAGCTGGAGAGAACTTTTCGGAGACAGAAATACATCAGCAAGACAGACCGGAACAAACTGGCAGCTGATCTCAGTCTCAAGGAGTCCCAGGTAAAAAAATATGATTAAGCTTGATCAACTTCTGATCATAAAAGACAGAAAAATAACGATCAGAGTACATCCTTAGCCATATTTAATTTAACAGATGTGAGAAGTGGTGAAAAAGACTACGGAAATTGACCGAGATGCCTCTCCATTCTTTTGCTGCTTTAGGTAAAGATCTGGTTTCAGAACCGTCGTATGAAGTGGAGGAACTGTAAGGAGAAGGAGGTTCATAACACTCGCTCCCCAATGGATGAGCTCATGGCCCGGGGTCTCGCTCAGGAAGAGGAAGAACCTACACAGAACCATCACTCTGAATCAAAAAGTGAGAGATCACCATCACAGAATAGTGCCAGGGACACATGAGTGGCAGTTCAGTCAGACAACTCACGTGTTTCTTAATATGTTTATTATAAGCAGCATATAGTTTGAGTTTGGCGTCTAGGCTCGGGCATCATCACTCCACAGATTTACAAAGAACATTGAGTGATGATTAGATAACTATCCCCAGAGCCTACAGGTGGAAGCTGGGGTGGAGCTGGGGTGGTGGTGGGGCAGGCAAGTAGCAGCAACATGAAACACAGCAGCAGGAACATGAACGTAGCAATAGCAAGTGAACACAGCAGTGGCAGCAGCAGCATTAGCGAGGCAGAGGCAGGAAGACCTGGCAGCTTAAATAGAGCGTGTTTAGGAGAATGTGTTTGGTTGGTTGTAAGAGGGACGAGGTGTGTCACGTGTTAATGTATCATTGGTGCTCGAGTTGACTGCCTGAACTAGCTTGCAGGCTTCGCCCCATTAATGGGTGGAAAGTAAACCAATGACTTTCTTAAATCCACAAAAACTGGTAAAAGGCTACAAAACTGGAAAGGTGTTGAGGAATGTGTGGATAGAATAAACTGTCTGTGAAGACTAACATTGACTCTTTTATAAAGCATGTAACCATTTTGTTGAATCATCTTATTGCGTATCACCAGCTTTATTTAGCAATTGTTTATTACACTAACAAGTCTTTGCAGGGAAGACTCCCACCCTTTTAATTGTAATTACAATCACTTGAATGCACAAATGAGTCACTTGCTTTTATGCTTTTACATCAGACTTCAAATTTGTTTTATCATTTAGTCAGCTTTAGAGTAACACTCTGCTCATAATCAAAAAACTTTTTTGAAGACAAATCTCACTTGCTATATTTTGTAAATATGTTATTTTTTCATGATTATGAATGCATAGATCAGGTGTAAATAAAGCGTTTCAATTAATCCTCAATTCCATATTGCTTGTTTTTACTGTGGTGGGCTGTGGAACAATACCATTAACATGTCAATAAACACTTCTATATACTGTCTACCATTAATATAAATACTATAGAGCTTGTGTTATCCATTAAGAAGAAGATGAACAAAAACGATGACGGTTTAGTTATCTTTTATTATGTTTTTACCTTTTTACAGTCAATGGTCAAAAATGAAATTGTGTCATTCCTATGACAATAAAACTGCAAGAGACATACACACTCCAGTACAGTAAATGCACCCATTACAAGTTGGTAAGAACATAATGTAGATAAAAGCAAATAAGAAACAAAGACTCTTCTATTCAGCCAACATTAAAAGATACCACACTAAACTTCTTTGCTATCACTATTAACAGTCCGGCTCAGGAAGAGTGGTGCATTTCAGGATACGGAGATAATTTTTCGCCTTGTTGGAGTCTCTGCGGAAACAGTAGAGTAGGTCATGATGGTCCATTGAGTCTAGGTCTCCTTGTGTGTAGAAGGCTGAAGAGGGGACCAAACTCTCAGGAGAGTTATAACCCACAGTGTTACTAAGCACTCCCAATAGCTTCATCTGTTGAACACAGAAGAAACATTGAAAAGTGAATTATTTCAAGAAATTAAAAAGGACACAATTGACTGTATACAATTCCAACAAGAGGCAACATTGCAAACAACCAAGCCAAATAAAATCACTTAGACACAGCCAAAAAACACATCTACAACCAAAAGTGATTTGTTACCTTTTCAGTTATTATTGTCACTCCGTCTTTTAGCTCATGCAATATATCACTGATCTCCAGTGCCTTGTTGGAGCTGTAGAGGTTAAAGTCTTGATTTTGATCCTGAGACATGCTCTGGTAGAGCTCAGACAGCGGCTTACCCCAAGCCTGAAGCAGCCTCACGATTACCTCTGTCAGTTGTTCTCTCTGCACATGACAAAGTTGCTTAAATAAATTAATATGACAAGATGCAGGGACATCGCCTAAATGCACAAGTATTATTAACAAAATAAATGCTTACCCCTAGCCTTTGTGCATTCTCCTTATCTCCTGGTGTGAGTATATCATAAGTGTGGCACTTCCGTTTTCCTATGAGATTCTTCCTGGGAAAGAAATATTGCTCCTGTGAAGAGGGACACACATATCAGACATAGTTATATCAGGGGGGCTCGAAAAATAGCCGACTCCAACGAGGCTGATTGATGATGGAAGAATGGCGGTCGAAAGGTTGATGGATGGTGATAGATGATCAATGTCAGAGCTGAAAGAAAATAACTCACAAATTCAGAGTGCAGATCACTGGAGACGCTGTGCATTCTTGAAGACTGTTGTATGACCCTTTCAAAGAGATCTGCCAGAGAAGGAACATGGCATCCAGCCTGTCCATAGGAACAGATTGGGGCACTGACCACCCTCATAGAAAGCTCCAGGTACACCAGCGTAAGAACAGCAAACAAAACTGAGGGGGCAAAAAATGTTAAGTCATTACAAAAACGAAGTAATACATATAATTAAAAACTTTGTGCAGTTAATGTGTCCATCTTACCCTTCTCCATGGTTCCTTTCTTGCAGTGGAGGACAAAATTATGAGTAGAGCTCTTTTCCCACCGGAAGCTATATAGTGATGACGTTGCTGATTAAACAAATGAGTTAATATACAAAAACGTGATTATTCTCTTTGCATATCATATGCCTCACTTAGTTAACTGCTCAGCCAAGAGCAGACAAAGCTATCTGAGGTGGAAAATATACTACACGGGTTAGGCCATTTTTTTATTTTAAGTTAATGAGCATTAGTGTATGGGACAAACACAAACTTGTATTTGGTTGTGCTCAGCTTTATGTACAAATGTGCTTATTGAAATGTAGTAAGAAAAAAACAATACAGGCTTTCTAAGTCTAACTAATTTTAAAATAACTGATCCTTATCAAAGTCCCATGTCTTGCTTTAGCAGTACATCAAAGTGTGATGAATCAAACCGATTCAAATTCATACATTTTAGATCATTAAAGCCTAATTAGGACAACAACACATTTCAAACCATTTAGCATTTTCACATTTATTTTAAACTACAAGACTCATTAACTGTCCCGAGCACAGCATCAAAATGAATAGAATCACAAAAAAGTCTAGAAAAAGCCTTTTGTTCCACAACCCTAGCTACTGTTCAGCCTGCTAGTATAAGTGAGGCTTTTCAAATGCAAAGTGGGTGATTTATCTACTCATTAGTATGGCCAAGACCAGAGGCCATCTACAGTGAATACAGTCATTCTACAGTTTTACTTTTTCCCCGAGCCACTTCGCACATCATAGAATCATCAATAAAGTCAGGTTTTCAGACTAAAGGGGGTAAAACACACATTGAATTAAATGCAGTTATTTTTCTGTAATAGCCCTTGTAATCCTTGCAATGAAAAGGGGGCATGGTACAATAATAGTGAACAGTGTTTTGATTCTCCATAAGTGTGCCACCTTGTGGAGAAATGAGTGTTAAGAGAAGGTAAGGTAAGGTATATAGAGGACCCTACCTTGCTGTATATATATATGTTGTTTGTTTTGCCTCAGGACTTTAATGGGCTAAGCGGTTAGGCCAAAGATTGTTTTACTGTTAAAAACGACACATACACTTGCATAGTTTTGCAGAAAAAAACGTTTTATGTTCATCTTTTTCCACATAGCATACACATAAAAAGATGTCATAAATACACCAATATCATTATAGAAAATATAATATACATCAATTTACATTAATTAATACTATGTACAGGTTTGAGTGCATTCAATTACTGTGTGCTGTCAGAGCAGGGATGAGAGAGTGAGCTGCTGAGGGAGACAAAGGGTGTTGGTATTCAGCTCTGTTCTTATATTAATTCAGTTGACTTAAACAATTCTCACTAACACCCAATGCCCAGAAACTCTTCTTCTCAAAGTTCCTCCTTGATTTTGTCTTGAATGATATGTTTTGAGTGTGACATCGTTTTTTCTTAAGCAAGTCTACACTTTAAACACAGATTCAGAGCTCCAGTTTTTACATGTAACTATCAATCCATTAAACATCTGTGATGCTTCCACTTGCGAGTGGCCACTGCCATGTTTATGTCTTTTTTGTGCCAAGGGAAGAGACGGGTGAGAGCGAGGGTGCCATCATTCTGCACAAAACCAGTCAGCATGTAAAACTGTGACCTTCCAGGACGCACTAAGATATTGGCACATTGCAGGTTGATGAGGAGCCACTGCTGCAGTAGGTGCCGGGTGTCATAAGGCAGGAGAGGTCCCTGGCGGATAAACTCAACACGGCCTTCAACCTCAAATTCAGGCTCTCCCAAAGGGAGGCGACGTCGATGGATTTTGGCAGTCACAGCTGTGGAAAAAGAAAAAAATATTAATTATCCGGTTAAGAAAATCACATACAATTGTTAAAAACATGGCCATACAGGTGGCATAACAAATCAGTGTAGTGAAATAACTCTTAAACTTACCGAAGTCATGCAGGCAAAAGGCATCCAGGACTGTTTTCATTGCAGGAGACTCTTCCACAGACGGACAGTTTTGGCAGGCGGGTTTTGGTAAGTCTGTGATAAGAAAATAATCATAATTTAGCAAGAATGCAGGGTACAGTATATACAGTTATAATAGAGAAACCTAAAGAGGTTGGTAATGAATGGAATGACAAGGCATTCAAGTATTGATGAATAGTCTGTGGTCTATGCATACCTTTGGCACTGTGGCTAGATTTAGAGTAGGGAGAAAGGCACATGTCTTCCTGGGCAGGAAAGCGGTCACAATCGAGTGCCTCGGGCCATGGCTGACCCTGGCAGGCGAGCACCGGGGCACAGCTGTCCCTCACTGCCACACACAGACTACGGCATGGCCGGATAAAGCTGTAGAAGAAAATAAAATAATGTTACACAATGAATAGGATATTGCTGCAAAATAATGTTTAAATCTGAAGCATGTTTTTAACATATTCAATATATTTTGTTAAGTATATTTTACATAAAAATAACAACCAGGAGAATTACAATTACAAGGAATGTAAAATGTACTTACGTATCAAGACAGACGGGAGCAATGAGGGAGCAGAGGAAGACCTGGGCTTGAGGGTGGCATCCTGTCTGCAGCAGGGGCCTCCAGTCCTCTGAACGTGGCACCACTTCAGCTTCCAGGTTGGTGTGACCCAAGAAGTTAGGCAGACGCATCTCAGAGTATCCAACATCTTTGCACACTTTCATCTGATTTGGGATGGTGACGCAACGAGTGGACTGACTCATGTCAAATGCCATTGAAGGCAATGCCATAGCCAGGAGAGCAACAGTGAAAAACACACTCATAGTGAAGGTATTTGCAAAATCCAGAGTCCTCAAGGTAGATAGATGAGCTGAGGTTGCTGGTGCCCAGAGGTCTCTTTTTCCTAGAATGACTTAGTAGCTGATGCTGCCTGCTTTATATACAGCAAGGTCAGCCAGGCCCATCAGCCTGTAAGTCTGTTATCAACTACCTATCAAAGACGCAGAGACGATGAGTTTGGAGACAACGGCTTGTTTTGTGATGACTGCAGACAAAAGGGGGGTAATAAGCAGATGGAGGGTGTGTGTCAGGGGGAGTAGGGAGGGGGAACAATGGGCAATCATGGCCCGGCTTTCACTGAGTGAAGCCCAGTCAGAGTCTGTGGCCGTTTCTCAATGTCGAGTAAAGCTGCTGCAGAGCCACTATTTCAAGTATACTACGTCATCGAGTGGCGCCGAATGCTGGGCATTTAAACAGTCCTTCGGCGCCACTCGATGACGTAGTATACTTGAAATAGTGGCTCTGCAGCAGGTATACTCGACATTGAGAAACGGCCACTGCCTCATCTTTTTTTTTGGGTCAAAAATATTGGGAAAACCTTGTGGAAAAGAACAAAAGAAACCTTGTTTTTTACAATATATACAGTAAGTCTACAACATGGGGTTAGCTAAACTGCTGCAACTACATACATTATTTGCAGGGTTAGTAATAGTGACTCAATTACCTCAAAAAGGAGTGATGTGTTTGTTATTTGTCCTAATAGCTGTATCTGCTTTGAGCTTATTACATACCAGCCAATGCAAAAGAAAGCAACATTGCTTTTATATATCACTCAAAATAACCAAATCCCATAAAGAGGCTTTGCTGAGGGTAGCAAAATAAATCTCTGAGAGTTCCCTTAGAAATAAATCTTGTGTAGACAGACAGGCAGTCTCCTTCATACTGCCAGTCTCTTTCATGTGTCTCTGCTTCTAATTGGAGGGTTTCATCTGCGGTCCTCCAGTTCTCATTAGCAAGGCAGCGTCTCTTTTTGCTCACCTGGCTTTGATCTTTCAGAAACACTAACTCTGTTGTAAAATACAGTTATGCTGCCTATTTGATTTTTTTTATATTAAGCATCAGCAATGAAACATTTTCTGGCAGCATCAGTGCATTGCCGTCGACATCTGTGTTATAGCATGGAAACATACATACATCTCCTTCAGCCAAGATTAATACGTTTTTTTATGAATCATACTTATATCTACAAATTACCAGAGCAACATCTGCTGTCAGGCAGACGCATCCACACTTAGTCATAACACACCAACATCCCACTCACAGGGTATATGCAGGAATCCTGAAGTCAAATGTAATACCTTTTAAGACCTTTTTTAAGACCCTTTCCATACATTTTAAGACCTCATCGCCACTTCGAGTTTTAACCGGTTACATTGGCGACACACTTTGCCTCACATTCACTATATACAGTATTGATTGTCCTTCCTCCTTATCTTCCAACCATTTGGACGCAAACTTGCATTTCCCCATAACGATGTTGTTTAACAACCGGCGTAAACGGGCCTTCGCTCGCTATCAAGCAGTGAGCGTGCGATGTCCTGTTCAGATGACGTCAAATCCAACGGGATGCCATAAATAAACTACACAGAATCACACTACACACCTACGCAATGATTACATTCAGGCACACTTTAGAATACAACCTCTTTGGACAATTTATATACTTATTGAAAACAAGCTACAACATTTAATACCTTGCAAAATGCCGTTTAACACTTTTTAATAGCCTTCATTTTCGCTAAATTGATTGATCAACTTTTAATACTTTTTAAGACCCCGCGGACACCCTGCACTCAAGACACCCGAGATCTCATCCTGAGATGCAGACCAGGGCCACAGACACAAGTGCTAATTTGTCTCGTTCTCTGTCTCGTGCATTCGAGCCGCTTAATTTAACAAAAGAACTACATTAAAGAATCATCGTATTTGTTTGGATGTCGTCTGTCTACAGATTAAGATGTATATCTTGGGCTGATGCCTCCAGGCCTTTGGAGTACTTTCCCTCATGAATCTGAGGTCTCTATCCCACCCAGCCTGCCATGCTCATTGTGGCTTCAGACATCCCAAAGTCAACCTGATTTTAGTTTGCCACACTCTCGTCTCCCTGTTTGCAGCAAGGACTACTCTCTCGCAGCCAGAGCCCTCACCAGCCCAGCCAACTTTTACAGCCTGATCTGATGTGTGCAGGCTGGTTCCAGGTCGGGTAGAGACGAGTGTAGCCCGTAAACTGGGACTAACTGGGCAATTAGAGTCACAGACCAATTTAGGAGAACAATAGGTCCACACATTTAACAAGGTCCCCCTGCCAGGAGCCCAGCAGGGGTCTGTTGTTGGGCCTAATGGCTGCCCTGTAGACTCTGTGTCTGTCTTGGTAATGTGTTGCCTGCCCCAGCATCACTTAATGAGAATGTGATACGAGTATGAGCTGAATGGATGGGCACCACTCTGTCAAATACACCACACCCCTGAATTAAATAGCATAACGACTGCATCTTACTGTACACTGAAAACAAAACTCTTACAGATTTAAAGTCTGCATATTCATTGGATTTAGACATTGATCTCTTTGCTTTTTTAACCCTCACACAACAGACTCTGCATTGCAACCATACAACTGTGTTCAGTTGTCTAAAGACACACACACACGCACACACATGCACAACACACACACACACACAACACACACACACACACACACACACACACACACACACACACACACACACACACACACACACACACACACACACACACACACACACACACACACACACACACACACACACACACACACACACGCAAAATTCAGATGACTATGAAGTGAAGTCAATATGAGGCAAAACCCTGCTTTAAAATCCCTAACTAACCAGATATCTTCTTAGTTTTACTAAATAAAGTTCTTCTCCTATTCATTGTTGCCAAAAGTTGCACCAAGATAGCATTCTTCAGAAATATACCTTTAAAATATGCATTCACTGCCATCACATCACAGTTAAATGTGAATCACAATTTAGTATTGCGAATTGGAAAAGGTTTTGTAAACTGACTGAAGAAACCATTTTTTTTCTAATAATATAATTCATAATTTCTCTCTACAGGTATAATATCTTAATAACATTTGTTTCTTACAATATAATCTTCTTTGGTTCTTAGTTCAGGTCATTCTGCTCAAACTACATTTTGCAGTCTGTTTTTTACACCCTGTGTGTGAAGTCATTACAGTTATGAGAAAAACATGTATAAATGTAAAAGTAGAGAAGAAAGATGTAGTGCCACCATTTAGAGAAGAAATGTGATTAACATTAAATAATGAAACGTCTTTAGAATATAACACCATGATCATCCTTGATGTTAGGTTTAATTAATTACACATTAGAACTTAAACTAATCTGAACAAGGGATATATCAAATACTAATTGCACCCTTAGACCATTTTCAACTCAGTCTTTCCTGCTCAAATACCCAGCTAAAACAGAGGTTTGAAGATCCTTATCTACGTGTAGGATGTTATCATCCATAATCATTTGAGTAGCTTAACGTACATTTGGTATTTTCCCCTCTACAGTGCAGTATCCACTGGCTGAGTGGGACAGCAGCACAAACACCTGAGACGTACATCAAAGACAGAGGTGTGTTTGAGGAGGAAAGAAGGGGGGGGCAGGATGAGTGAACTCAGATAAAAGCTGTCTCCTGCTTGCACATTAGAGACTCATTAACTTAAGAGATTGAACCCCCTTTGCCTCTCTTCTCTCCCCTATTCAACCCCCTCCCTTCTCCATCCTGCTGGGCTCCAGTAGGACTGACAGTCCCTGTGAAGACTGTCAGTAGCACTCAATTGTCACATCCAGTCTCCGGGGCTTGTGGGCAGACGCTGCCACGCCGAGACAAGGAGACAACTCGCCCCCAGAAAGTACAGACTGCATCTGTGGATCCACTCAGTCAGCCAACACACCAACATTAAGGTTACAACTTCAACCTATAACTTATTTTGCATTCTTAACAGAGTTGTTACTTTAGAAATTACAAAATGCTCTCTATGGCTTAAAGATCTAATGTTATACCTGAACTTAGAGAAGATTAAATATAACCTGAGGGGCTCTTCAGAAATGTTTGAATCTGTCTGGGGCTCTGTGATAGCCTACATAGCTGAACTTAAGACACTAAGTTAGGAAGAAAGGGGGGGACTATGAATGTATGTTTTTTATATACATGTATGTGTATGTGTATGTGTATGTGTATGTATGTGTATGTATATGTGTATGTAAATGTGTGGGTATGGGTATTAGGGATGGGAACGATTAATCGAATATTCGAAATTATTCAGGTTTTCGAATATGAGAATATGAGTTATTTTTTGGGAGGGGTGCCTAAGTTGATTACATATTATCAAATGGAATAATTCAATGTATACAACAGTGCCATAGCTAAGTGTATTAGGTCTAAAGGTGTGTTTTGCTCCGCTCACCGGTCCCTCACAGCCGGGAAGAGCTGCAGGTGCTGGAAAAAAACGGAAGAGGAAGACAGCTGACGATCTTCAGTCATAATTCAATCAGTTAAAGGTGGGGTATGTAATTTTGGAGAAACCAGCTCGAGTGCGCTAGAATTTGAAAATACACAACCGGAAAAAATCTGCCACTTCCTTACAGAGCCCCTCCTCCAACACACAAAAACGCGCTAAAATGATTGGTCGTGCTTTTTACAGTACTACGGCTTCCACAGATTAATTTTTTTTATGTATTTATTGTCAAAGCATTTAATATATTCATTGCTATCGGGATGTTAAGAGCATTCCATGGAATATAACAAAAAGTATTTCTGAAATAAATTACCTACCCCACCTTTAACTCTTTTTAGGGTGCAGCTATAGGTTTTATTTATTTCAAAGTGGGTCAATTTGAATTGTATTTATTTTCTTCAAATGTGCAGAGGACTCCCCAAGTGCTGTGTTTAATTTATTTTAAAGTAGGCCTGTGTATATTTTTTTAATTCTCCTTATAAGAGTTCTTTGTTTATTATTAGAGGTAAACAGTTTTATATAATGTAATAAATAATACAAAAAAACTGTAATTGTTGTCGATGATATAACAATATATACAACTTTATAAGCTATCAAGCTATCAAATATGTTTTGTGGCTCCAGACAAAAAAAAGTGTTGGAAAAGGGGGCAAAATGGCTCTTTTGGTCAAAAAGGTTGCAGACCCCTGCCCTAACCCATTACGTTGTTCGTGTATGATCCCTCTTTAATTTAAAAACCAAGTTATGTTTTAAGCATGAAAGCTGTAGGCCTATAGCTGTCAACTGTTCAAACTGTGATCACCAGTTCAATACATTTGACAAATTCGACTTGGTTTCTACTTATTTGAACATGTATTTATGTATTTATTTATTTTTCAAAATGAATTTTATTTTTGTCAACATTTTTCCCACATTTCTTCTTTTTATAGGACATGTACATTTCGGTTAACCGTTTTTTTGGGGGTCAAATATTCGAATATACATTTGCTTTCAATTTCACATCCATAATGGGTATAGGTATGTACTATGTACATATGTGTATATGTGGGAAGGAAAAATACAGACCGTATAAATGTAACTCACAGTGCCTGACTCAATACAAAAATATATTAAAAAAAGAAATGAGAAAATGCTGCTGTTAAAATATGGAAAGTTAATTTAAAATCCTTTTTGTAGCATTGTTGTGCTGCCTTGGCAGACAAACAGCACAGGACTGCTATGACGCGGTTCACAGTAATTTACCCATATTCGTGGCAGTCCAACAGAAAAATCTTATGCACAGTGAAGCACATCAACTTAATAATCACAGGACACAGAAATAATTGTGCAGTGTAGACAAGCATCATCTTTATTTCTACCCCCCCCCTGATTAGAACTGCATTTGGCTTTCACAGAAACAAGAAATTCCTCTTTTCAAACCAAATCAGTTAACACTGATCACAAACAGTCAAAAGAGAGACAAGCCATGGTAAATTGAAGGGTAAAACAAAAATAAAGTCTTGGAACACGATAAGACAGTCAAGTTGTAGCTGAGGTACACCGTCCATGATTACGTTGTCCTCTTAAGCAATCCTTTGCTCTTCTGCAACTCTGTTGGAGAAAAGGAGAAGCCACCAATAGATTAAAACAGCACTGGCAATTGTCTTGGTAGTAATTATTGTAGCTGCTTGTGTATACTCAGCCATGTAAAAAATAGGATAAATAAATACTTGTCTCAGCAATTTCTTTCACTTTTACTAAAAATCCAACTAACCTAAAAGCAGTGGGTTGTTCTGGACTATATCATATTGATGGGGGTTTTCCCTTACAAATGTCCATGAATTAGGGCTCAGAATATTACGAATTACCTGTATACAAAGTCATCACTAAATATGATGTTAAAGGTAGGGTAGGTAAGAATGGAGAAACCAGTTTGAGTGCGCTAGAATTTGAAAGTACGCAGCCGAAAAAAATGTGCCCCTTCCTTCAGACTTCCTTACAGAGCCCCTCCTCCAACACACACGAACATGACCAATGAGGGCACGAGATAAGTTTGTGCACAGATGGAAGGCTGACAGGCAGGTAGGCCATCCAGTTATTTTAGCCGGGCCGGCTCAGATGATTGGTCGTGCTTTTTACAGTACTACGGCTTCCACAGATTAATTTTTTTATGGATTTATTGTCAAAGCATTTAATGTATTCATTCCTATCGGGATGTTAAGAGCATTCCATGGAATATAACAAAAAGTGTTTCTGAAGTGAATTACCTACCCTACCTTTAATACTAAAGCAGTATTTAATGAATACCTATGACAGTGTCTAAGTAACTGAACATTATAGGCATCAGAATTTGACCTGATGCAGGAACAGTTGTATTAGATTGCATTAGCTTGTACACATTGCACAATAAAGCAGCCACTGTATACAGTTCCATTAAAAATAAAGACTATGACGTCTGATCAGTTGACATACATCTGACACTCTCTGAGGGAGGGAGGGGGGTCACAACCCAGATATGCCCCGTTGATGAAACTGTACTGGAGTAGAGCTCTGAAGCAATGGTCCTGGAAAGAAATGCAGACATTTAAAATACATAAAAGACTCAATATAACACCATTGAATAACATTTTAATAGATTATATACAAATCTAGAATCTAATATTAGTGCTAATAACGTGTTTTTACTCACCATGATGAGGATGTGGGGGTTCCCAACAATTATGAGCAGGGCTTTGGGGCGAGTGATGGCCACGTTGAAGCGTTTGGGGTTGGTCAGAAAGCCGAGAACACTCTGCAAATCATCACTCAGTACGGATTCATTAGAGCGCACCTATATTTCAAAAGAATGAAGTTTACTGAGTAATTGCTAAAATAGGGAATGAACTATGGCAAGGTAGTGAGTGTAGAAGTTGTGATCTTGAGTATTTTTATTCCTATTAAATGGACAATGTCTGAGTTTCAGTTGCCAACCTGATAGAATATTATTGATCCGGTAACTAAGGAACGCTTTGCTTTTAGTTACCTGTGGTTGTTATATTAGTTCATTATTATAAGTAGGGATTTTTATATAAGGGGAAAGGGCACCGTTCTCAACATACTAAAACAAAACAGAGGACTTTTGGAATGAACTGCAAATAAAATGTGATCAACTTCTCCCCCCAACACAAACTACATCAACTGACCACAAGGTGGTGCTAAATTCCTTTTCGTTTGGTAGGTGCTGAAATGTTCACAAAAATAAAAACCCATCTTTCTGAGTGGACCAAAACCTGATGTCCGATACCCATGCTTTCGGATACATCTACTTAAAGGGGACCTATCATGCAAAATGCACTTTTGTACGTCTTTTATACATGAATATGTGTCCCCGGTGTTCCAGGGAACTCACCAAGTGTCAGAAAACACAACCCTCTCTATTTTCCTCCATACCCAAATCTCTAAAAAAGGGGCTGCAACGGATCTGATCAAAACTGATCCAGATTTGAACACTTTCCTGACGTCAGGACAGTGGCGCTACGGCTATTGGGCCAACTCCACCAATCAGGAGGAGACAGCCACGGCATTGCCGTTCGAAAGCGCTGGAGACGCTGTAGTACATATGCCAGGCCTGTAGATGGTGCTGTTGCTCACAGAATCAGCTCTTGCAAAAACAGAGCTAGAAATTGTCAAATTGAGCGAAATGAGGCATGGCTAAAATGCATGATCTGTTTGGTATTTTGAAAAAAAAAAAGTATAAATATGCCTTATATAGGTATGGTCCTACACTATATTATTCAAATATAGCATGATAGGTCCACTTTAACATTTGACATACCTGGATTGAGCCAGAAAACCTATATTGATGGAATTTTGAAACGCATAACTGTATTTTATTCAAAGGACATTTACTGTAGAATCAATAGTCCACTCCAAGAAAGCTGACTATGATGTTTGTAACTTCTATCACACAGATTTAGTTTTTTCCTACCGTAGACATGATGATGACCAGGAACTCTTGTCCTTGGAACTCCTCCACAGAGCCCACTTTGATATCAGACAGGCCGACCTGACCCAGCAGCACTCTGATCTTCTCACACTGGAGAGTGGTATGAAAACAAGGACAGTGCTTTGTTAAGACATGCAAAGCCACTTAAAAGTATAGGGGCCATTGAATCTACCTTGGAGTAGAATATGAATTGACACTGAAAAAGCATTTTTACTTCTTTATTAAGATAGATAAGTTAGATAGCTTTACTTAGGAGAAACCCTAATAATACATATTTCCCAAATGAATCTTGTAGTCTTACTTGTTTCCTGTAGGGGGCGATGATGCCGATGTTCGAGACGTCCACAGGGTTGCAGAGCTTCTTGGCCAGCTGGCAGCAGTAGAACATGACCTGCACCGCCTCCATTGGGTTGAACCATGACGGGTTGTTGCCTTCCCTCAACTCTGTACCCTATGGAAGAGCAAAATCCCTGGATTAGATTTGACGTACATGCCCAATAAACTGGTAACTCTTTGTAGATGCATTATCTTTGTCATTTTAAAATACCACTCACTCTAACTCCATGAAAGAGGAGAGGGAATTCTTTTTTGGGCAGGGTTTTCCACTGGCAGAGAGAGTCTACTACGTCCCTCTGTGCTTTAAAACACAGCTCGCCCTTGTAGAAGAGCTTGGAGGGCAGCGTGAGCAAGGCCTCATGGGAACGGTAGTTGAAGATCAGCTTAGTCACCTGATGCATTAAAAAACCAGATTATAATTATTATAACAGAGCATGCACAATCAAATATTCTTCTAAGATGAATTATTTGTATAGGAAGATATCCTACATACTATCAAATGCCATTTGTATTATCTTTCTTAGTGTCAATGTGCTACTTGCTTTAAAAAAAAACACATTTAATTTGCTAAAAATTATGGATTCAGTGCGCAGTGCACCAACCAGTTTAGGGTTGTAACCCCAGTCATGTCTGGCGTACAGCGGGTTAGCCATCAGCCTCTCCATCAAAGACACCCCCAGGCCAAATGCAGTGGCCAGCTTTGACTTCACTACTGGACCCAGCTGGCAGGGGTCTCCAGCCAACACTACCTGAGCAAGGGAGGGGGAAATGTCATCATTAGTAACAACATAAACATACAATTTGCCTGTTGTAAATGATTAGAAAAAAGTCCAGCTGTCGTTCTTTTTGATCCACAATACAAACACAACTGGTGCTGGTGATCTCACACAATTATGTAATGATTGTCCACAAGACAGAAGCACTGGACAAAGCCTTTGGATGTGAATGTAGTCAGTGTGTGTGCTGACCTGTCCATCTCTCTCTGACAGATAACTCATGGGGATCAGGGACTCAGGTTCTGTGGCCTGGCCGGCTTCATCCAGGAAGACGTGGGTAAAATGTCCCACGCTGAGAAAATATTAAATAGAATCAACAGTAGGTGAACTAAGATAGTAGTATATAGAAGTGAGGGCACATCTGCTTATTTAAACTGTGTACAACTATCCCTGCTACCGCCCAGGACTTACTGTATTCCTATATTATGGAACATTCCAGAGCTGGAGCAAGTGCTGACCACAATCCTGTGGAAAGAGGCGTGGCGGATGTCCTCTCCTGCCTTTGAGTACGCTCTCAGTGCTTCTGGGATGGACTAAGAAAAAAACATACATTTTGGATGATGAGAAATGTACTAAAGTAGATTCAGACACAGCATGTCATCACGACCTCATCTATTATTTAAAAAGATAACTGTACCGCCCCCTCTGGTGGCAGATGTCAATGGCATCTGTACAGACCAGACTGCACAAAGGAGCATGCATATTTCCCTTTGATCATACACACTGTAAATCAGGTGTCTGTTGACAAAGGAAAACTGCACTGTGAATGTCTTTTCCCAGCCGCTGTTAAATACCTCCTCCTGCCTTGAGGATGCGTTGACACGGGCCAAACTCGCAGCATGCAGGAAGCCACTGTGATGAAGGCGGGTGCAGATGAGGTCAGCAGCGCTGTTGGAGGGAGTGCACACGAGAACACGACTACTGGGCAGAAAGTGGTAAACCTGGAGGAAGAAAGAAGTCACACAAGCAGAGGAGCAGAATGGAAGTAAGCTTAAGACTGGGCATAAGACCTAATGCTGACCTATTCACTATTGCAGCTAAAAGTTGCAGAGGCATTTCCCCATTAATACCAGTTTTATCAACAGGTTTACAGTGTAGCTGTCCATACAACAACGTAAGACCTACCCGTTTGGATTTATACATCTGGACAGTATTTGTGAATCACTTTTTTCAGAGATTGAAAATATAAACACAGAGGATATAATTGAAAAATTAAAATGACCATGGGCAAGGTCTGAACAATTTTATTAAATCAAACCTATAAAAGTGTTAAATATATTTGTTTAGGACTACTAAATTATGTTTTTGCACAAGAGTCTTAAAGCACTGGACTGATATATCAGTTTATATTTATTGAAAGGGTTTCTTTAAGTTGGCTAGTTGGAAGATATTAATTAACATAGCTTCTGATTAGGAAGATGATATGTACCTGTAGTATGGCTTCTATGACGGTGATGGTCTTTCCCGTGCCCGGAGGTCCAAACAGCACATAAGGAATGGGCCGACACTCCCCTTCCAGGATCCTCTTCACCGCCTCTCTCTGAGGGGGGTTCAGGTCCGGGTTAAAGAAGTGCCCTGCACTGGGGATGGGCTTGGATGGCAGTGTTCCTCCTAAAAGCAATGAAACACTTGTCAATTATATACTCAATCTGATATACACAGGCAAATCTTGGACCAACTAAACACTAGGGCTGTCCCAAATACCATTTTTCGGGCTCCGGATATTCGGTAGTAATCAGCAGCAGGGGGGGGGGTGCGTAGTAATCACCAGCGAACCGCTTCAACACGTGTATTTCGGTTTATTCACGGCATTCATTTTGTTATTCTACACTATTGTTGTTTTATAGTTATTTGTTAATGTATACAACCCAGTGTTCTTTGAAATTGAAAAGGATATTGCATTGTGTTTGTTACTTTCGTTCAGTTGTATATCTTAAGTGTAATTTGGCTTGGCTTCCTATTTTGTATGGACATGCTTTTATTTTGAAGGAGAGTTAGCGCTATTGACAGGATGTTGTTGTTGCTATGGAAACAACGTGACGGAGATTAACGGAGAAAAAGTAATATCTACATATAAAGGCGGAGAAAGTAAACGATAACGTTTATGGTTAAGTGTTAGCACCCCCCGAAGAGGCACAAGCTCTTACGTTGATATTGGAGTTTTCAATAAATTCAAAAAAAAAAAAAAACGAATCACGAAATTGAAACCCGAATAGTACTCCAACAAACGAATATTCGGGTACAGCCCTACTAAACACTAAATGTACCTTTAGTCTGCGTGGCCTTTGACTGCATGTCCATGGAAACCTTTCCATTTTCCTTGGTTGGAATCTGGTGTTGAAATACAATTACACTTAAATCAAAACCAAGAAAATAAATGACAATGTGTTTAAATCTTTAAGTTTTCACCTCATTGCCCGTTGCTTTGTTTTGCTCTGTCTCATCGCTCCACTTCCCTGTCCACTGATGGGTCTGAACAGTCACTTTAGAGGGGAAGAGAACTGCACAACAGGGTGAAAATGACAGAAATCTTACTGTGATACAAAACAACAGCAGGGTAAACCAAGATGGACTAGCAAAAATGCGAGGTACAAACAGCGCCCTCTGGAGGCGAGCTGGTGGTAATGTCAATGCGTGTCGTGAAAGAATGATTTTTCTATAGTGTATCGCTTTGCTGGTGAAATAATGACCACAGAAGTTCACTTCTTTCTTAGAGTCTTCTTAAATTGACTGATAAAGAATGTATTAGATTTGTTTTCATTTGTATAGTGAAGAAGAAAACAACATTGTCAAAATCATTATCTGCTTTTTTATAGGGAAAATGATTTCACTATTCATAAGTATAGTGTATCAATTAGAACATTTTCATTCCAATTAATTTCAGGGGGATACTTTCTTCAAAGATGCCTTATAATGTACCTTTCAAAGAGTACTGCATATTGCACATAACTGAATGTACACTTGACTTATGGTGTCTAAAATGCCAGGAAACTACCAGAATTAAAGTAATTTGAAAAGAACCTTAACTTACTATTCCCAAACTGCTTTGTGTGTTCAAGTGCGTAGTGACACCGTCTCGTAGGCAATCTGATGATGTAAGCAGTCAACATATGCTGTATTATAATCATTAAGCATCACTGTTGGGTTAAATATTTGTACATTTATTTGATGTAATAAAAATCACATCCTCTTTTCTAACCTGTTGTAAGAGAACTCAACATCGAGTGGCTCCCCGAGGTAGCTGCGCTGAAACTCCGAGTTCACTCTCAAACTCACAGTCTCATCATTGATCTGAGTGTTAAAACAGAACATTAGATTAAATCTCAAGAGCATTTCTGTTTGATAACGCACAACATGAAAGATGTCTCAGATTATAAAACATTTCCTTACCTCTGTTACATAACTAACATACTCCATCACCACTCCGTCACTCTGTGGTTTCTTCAGTAATATTCTGTCCCCTGCAGAGCAAACTTTTCAAAACCCTTCTTGTGTTCCACAGAGGAAATCATAACATTAGCAATAGTTCAACAATGATAAAGAAAGGCCCCTCACCTATATTGAGATTGGGTCTGCCTTCGGACAACCCAAGGACCTCTAGGTGCAGGTAGACCGCTCCTTTCTTGAGGAGGGCCCCGTGGATTGTTTGTTCTTTCATTTCCCTCTCTGCATGCAGCTCATCCAGCCAGAGAAGGAAGGAGAAACGCAGATGCATGTTGGATGGTGAGAGAACCTGAGCAAACAGGCACAGCAGGAGAAGGAAGATGGGATTTTTCAGTTGGTCCCTCATGGCAAATTCTATTTTCTTCTGTGTCTCACCACAAGGAAAATTGCATAAGTCTGCGATTGGCCGTGTGGATTTTGAAAGGATACTCGTCCTATTCCGCTATCTATTTAGCAAAGGATATGCCGCTGCCTCTTGTTTAGTGTGGCCCACAACGATTGGATTAGGTTAAAAAATATAAAGACAAACTAAAGCGTTTTTCCCTCATATTCCATTATAATGTGACTGTGGAAAAAACATCCCTGTGATAATACGGGCCCACGGCTTTGTTACGATGCAAATTCAGAGATGATATATTGATTGGGCGGTGGTGGTCACCAGTTCAAGTCCCGGCAAGACCAAGTGCTACCGAGGTGTCCCTGAGCAAGGCACAGTTACCTACACTGCCCCCCAGGCGCCGTTCATAATGGCAGCCCACTGCTCATAACCCTAGGATGAGTAAAATGCAGAGAAACCATTTTGTTACATGGTACCTGTACTGTGTAATGACAATAAAAGTGCAAAAAAAGAAGATTGTTCAAATTATTGGTCGCACCATTATCAAAAGCTGAATCAACAAATGTATGCTGCAGGTAGGCTTAATCCAACCCTCTCCATCTTTAACTTGTATTACCTTGTTCTACATAACCAGCTTAACTTAATCCCATCTCCTCACCTCTCCTAAGCAGGGCTGAACCACCAGCACGTCGCTCTGAGCATCCACACAGTCTCTGAGAGCCTGGGGCAGCGGGTAGTTGGGTAGGAAGTTTGGCAGTCGTCGCTTCGTAATCCTGCAGTTGGATGATTCAATCACAAATAAAGATAAATAATAATGCAAAACTATTTTCCAGGAGCACCTTGCATACAATATTTACGAATAGTTTCATTTGAGCCTTGATGCTTTTTGTCAGCAATAGAAACAAAATCCGTTGTGTGATACCTTGGTGCGTCTTTTGGAGCAGAGATAGTTATCACTTGACCAGGCACTGTGGAGGAGGCCTGAGTTGCTTCTCTAGGAGTGTAGGGCACTGAGGGCTGCAGCAGGGTCTCCTCTTTACTCCCCACTGTGACCTTCAGGCGCCTCCCGATGGTGAAAGAGGAGAAGTGCAGCAACAGCAGCTCAGCGCAGCTTCCCAGGCTCCTGAGCAATTTCCCACATGGAATTTAGTTTTACATTCAAACAAAATCTCCAGAGACTGTCCAATTAACAGAGCTTATTTTATATGGCAAGACAGATTCCACAGACTTTCCATTCTACTTTTGTCTTTTTGATCCATTACTCCAACGGTTTCTTTCATTTATCTATGCAGGAATCCTGAAGTCAAATGTAATACCTTTTAAGACCTTTTTTTAAGACCCTTTCCATACATTTTAAGACCTCATCGCCACTTCGAGTTTTAACCGGTTACATTGGCGACACACTTTACCTCACATTGACTATATACAGTATTGATTGTCCTTCCTCCTTATCTTCCAACCATTTGGACGCAAACTTGCATTTCCCCATAACGATGTTCAACAACCGGCGTAAACGGACCTTCGCACGCTATCAAGCAGTGAGTGTGCGATGTCCTGTTCAGATGATGTCAAATCCAACGGGATGCCATAAATAAACTACACAGTAGGGCTGTGCAATTAATCGTATTTTAATCTCGATTACGATTTTGGCTTGCAACGATTACGAAAACAATGTAATCGAAATAAAACGATTATTATTTTTATTAAAAAAAAAAAAAAAAAATGTAATTTTTTTTTTTTTATTGGTTTTTCTGTTGAATTATACTTAACCTGTTCCACTCGGAGCCTGTTTTTCAGGTCTCAGGCTCGAAAATGACATTCCCAGAACAAATGACCATATCTTCCCTTCTAAAAGGGTTAAATTAATAATCTTTTTTCTCAAAGTAATGATAAACCTGTGAGTTGGATGTAGAAGTGTCAGAATCAATATAGATGTTTTTTATTTTAAAGAAAATTCAGATTTTACATAGTAAAAAACTGTAAATTATAGTGTCCGTCCAAAAATTATTTTTTACAGATAGTGAAAACTACCCTTGGATGATGGGTTAGTAGACTAAAAGCTTTAGGAATCCAAAGTACAACATATAATAAGTACCCTGTATCAAGATTGATGCAAAACAAGTGAAATTTGACCTTTTTAGAGAGATTTAGCCAAAAACTGGGCCATCTGGGGTCATTTGGGTGGATTTGACCTATCTCTGGCCCCCCTTGCTCGATTTGGTTGGTTGACATACCCTTGTGACCGTTAGAGCCAATAGAATCGAAGGGGGAGGACAACACCCACACAAGTTGTAAAGAAAAAATGTGGGCGCTTCGCGTGTGGAAAACGAAACCAAAGTGGAGGAATGTCTCCTTCTGGAGTTTGGAAACTAAAACGCAGTTGTATTGCTTATGGATTATCAGAAATAATTTCAAAGAAGGCACAGACACATAGGATGAACCTATGGATTAACTGCAGCATCGTTTTTTTATCGTTTTAATGCCATTGAAGACCACTTTTGACCAAGGTAAGCCATATTTACGTGTTTAGCTTCTTAGCTCCACATGTGATGATGTACGCTTTCGTTGATAGCGTCGCGAATGTTTATCACTGAGTGTTGAGGTGGGCACCGTTAGATTCAGTGTCTCCAGGACACCAAAAACGAGTGGTTGGCTGTGCATCTAGGATAAGTAATAAGGGAGTTATGAGTGAGTTTAAGTGCCTTTGTAGGTCCCGTTTTTTCGATCGAGGCTAATTCAGAGGCTGAGTGCTAGCATTGTGGGTTTTTTTTTTTTTTTTAAATTAAAAAGATCAGTTAGCTGAGTTTCTTCCCGTTACATGGATATAACACATTCATAGTTTTATTCAATATTAAGATTCCTTAGACGTTGTTTCCTGCAAATGACGCGTTTATCCGCCCGGTACCGGGGGGAAGGTGTGAAACAGGTTAAAGTTCAGGGTAATCAACTGTTAAAAACATACTGTTCAACATTTTTTTTTCAATATATGGATGTTTTCAAAGTAAATGGATAATCGTTTTTAATAATCGTAATATCAATTATTGACCAAAATAATCGTGATTATGATTTTTGCCATAATCGCACAGCCCTACTACACAGAATCACACTACACACCTACGCAATGATTACATTCAGGCAAACTGTAGAATACAACCTCTTTGGACAATTTATATACTTATTGAAAACAAGCTACAAAATGTAATACCTTGAAAATGCCGTTTAATACTTTTTAATAGCCTTAATTTTCGCTAAATTTATTTATCAACTTTTAATATTTTTTAAGACCCCACGGACCCCCTGCTATGAGTTCCAAAAAAATAACTTACTTTGCTTGGCATGCTACGACAATAGGCAGCCTCTCTCCTGGTGGAATATCCACATTTCTGTCCTCTCTCTTTACACCAGGGGAATGGATAGTCTCCTTCAGCACCTCGTCATTTTCTTTCTTTACCTCCTTTGCATAACCACCTTGTTTTTCTGAAGACTGCGAGCAGTTTTGAGACTCTTGGCCGTTTTCTCGCAAAGGCTGTTGTTTCTGTCTCAGTGGTTTGAAGTCTTTGACAGAAACCAGGAGGAACTGTCCCTCTGAGTCCCAGCCAGCGATGTCACAGAACTTCAGTGTGTGGGTCTCTGAACCTTTATTTCTGATATGAGAGGGATACAATGTAATAAATGCAGCGTATTGTGCCAAGGGTGGATTTGAGAGATTTGTTTCCCAGAAGACCAATGATGAGGATTTAAACTACAATATTGGACAATAAAAAATGACAATCATAAGCGTTTGTAACTAGTGCTTTGATATTTCTTAACTTTGAATATTTCCTTTCTACTTCGATCACTTACTGTATCCAAAACACCATCTCTCGCTTCTCGCCAATCATCAGATCCCCAAACTGGCCATAGTCCGATACATGCAGCCCCCCTTTGTTTTCCAAAATACTCTGGAGTTCAGTCTCTGGGAGACGTGTAATGGAAATATTCTCACTGAAACAAAAAGAAAAGAAGAAAAACATCAAAATATTCATCTGTATCACCCTTATCAAAAGTTTAATTAATCTGGAAAATACCATTATACTTCTGAAGAACTTTAAATAATTCGACAATTCAGACATTTATTTAGCTAAAATAGTGGGGGAAAGTAGACCAAATCTTAAGTTCCAGCTTGCTGCTTCCTTGTCGTATTAAACTGAATATCTCAGACTTTTGGTCAGAATAAACAAGACATTTGAACACCATGAGATCCTTTTTTTCCCCATTTTAGGATAATCTTTAATTGTTGTTGCAGCCCTAAAAATAGTAATAGTAATCTAAATCCAATACCTCTGGCAGGGTGCCATGCACAGGGCCCTCCAACTGTATAAGGACTGACTGCTCTCCACCATCACTAGGTTGACCATATGTCCTGGCAAAGGCTGGTAGTGGGCAGGCAGCAGCAGAGAGTCCAGGTTGTAGAACACACTGTCCTCCACCACTCCATTTTTACCATAAGCGCTGGTCACACGCACCTGGAGATAAACGTTTATTCAAAGGAAGTAAGAGTAGTGAAACAGAATTGGATAGTACAGACATGAATGAGCATTTAATCATTACCACTTCATCAGAGTTAGGAACAATGCCAACTTTCAACAATGCAACTGAAGTACTAAAAAAATGAATAAATTGTATTGAGTGGGTATAGTTAAAAACATTGAATGATGCCATTACCTGGTCTAGGCGGCTGTAGCGTAAAGGGGCCACAGAACTAGCCTGGGTGGTCCATTGGGTAGGATTGACAAAATATTTAGCTTGGACCCAGTCTCCTTTCATTGGCTCATAACCTGACACAAATAAGAGAGAAAATACAAAAGTGTGCCAACAGGCAGGAAAGTTAACATCAGCCTTCAGCCAAGTGCTAATAAATATTGGTGTGGCTGCAGGTTTGTCAAATCTACTCTCGGTTACCAAACATCAACTGTAAAATTATGGCAGTAAAATCTGTTAGACAGGCTGGACGGTTATGGAGACCCACAGTGGGTGTGGACAACAAAGTTAATGTAAGAAAATGATTGTGGGGTCAAGAGGCTCACAATTTTAGCGTGTGAAGTACAGTAAGCATGGGTACCTTCCCATAAGCTGCTGCGTGGGAAGTATGTGGTCTGGTTTATGTAGCCACCATCTCCATCAAATGATGTGACTGTGCCAATGAGAGGCCGCAGCTGCATACTGTCAGCTTCTAAGGAGGTACTGCCTCCTTCCTCCCAAGCATCTGCACTCTTCTCCACCTAAATGACAAGATGAAACGGTGCAAGTTGGACAATTTCTGTCATGACTGTCCTATTTTTCTTATTGAATCACTGCCATTAGAATTAACAATACACAATGTAAGGCTACATTCACACATAGGCCTCAGACACATCTCTATCAACACAAACTCTTGATGGAAGACAGGAAAATGTTTAATTTGGATTCTGACTTTTGATTAAGATGGAGCATATATATGCAGACCCGACCGATCACAACTTAATTCACATCAGGTAAACATAAATTGTATGATGTTAGCAAATTCATGCTGGAGCAAAGAACCGGATTCTCACCCTTAAAGCTTTCCACCCCCCTTGGGCACCATCACGTACTGCTACGCAGTTCACCACGTCCCCTTCTTTCAGAGGTATCCCGCCCAACACTTCTCCGGTGGTGAAGTAGATAGCATCGTCGATCATGCCATAGTCGAGGCACAGCTGGGTCACCACACTGCCCCGCAGGTTGCGAATGTTTTCCTGGCCTGACAGCCAAAAGAAATGCATGGCATGACATATGCTGCTGTGTGTTGATATTGTAATGCTTGAACTTATTATACTTAGAAGAATGTTGCATTTACCTGTTGCATCAGAGCAAAGGCCCTCTCCATCAGCCTCTCCAGTCCTCCACAATGGAGAGGCCAGCTTAGACAGCATGCATCGCACAGCAGTTAGCATATTATCTGCAAAATGGTAACTTAGCTGATGTAGCTAGCGTTAGATTTCCACACTAGGAAAACAAAAAAGCAGTTTTTATTAACCTTGCAAACATTTGTCACCTGACGTTATTTACAAGCTTTTACGTTTTGGATATTATTTTTACAAGGCATTTACTCAGTTCGCTTACACGTCCAGGCCAGGGACAAACAAAAAGCTAATACAAAATATAGTCATTTCTAAATAACAAAGAGGCTAGATAGTTAGCTAATTTCAAAGTTAGCTAGAAGAAAATGCTAACTACAACATTATATTACTTCCGAGCTAATGTTAGTTAGCTAAAAGTTACCTTAGCTATAGTACAAAAGGCGGAGTATGAAGGAACGAAATTGAGAACATTATTCAACGAACAAAGTATAGGTGAGTTAATTATAAGTTACCGTTCTCAAACCAAATAGTAGCTTAAGTAACGACAAACTTCACGTGGTGTTGGGGTGGAGACCTCCTCGTTGGTACGCATTTCACATGTACGCTTACGTGCGCGCCGCCGCTTGGTCACCGCGAGGGGAGGTGTAATGAGAAATGTGGTGAACCTACCAGAAATGTAGACGACTCTGATACTATAAGTCACCGGAGATATGTAGTTTGTATGCTCTGTATTCCTCCATGGTTGGATGAGTAAATAAAATCATTTGCATGTGAGTTTTATCTATGTTTAAAATGTAAATAGAACGTTTGTGACCCCCCTGCTTTCTTTGTCTTTTAGTTTTAAAGTTGATACCTTAAGGCCTAAACGTATTTTTTGAGAGTGGTAAAGACTTATTGACCTAAAAAAATTGTGAGGCACAAAAATGTCTGTATAAATCACAGAGGTATAATATATTGTGTTCACTGTTGTTTGTTTTGGCTAAAGCAGTTAGACGTTAATTCTGCATTGAAATAAATCTTACATACAGATTTGGAAGTTGTTAGCAGATGGCTAACTCCACTGGGTATGTCACCACTGTAGATTAATAGGGACTTCATGATGTATATCCAGAACCAAAAGCCCTGTGAACACTTTTGCTTTTACACAATTTAGTGTATGCAATGCAGTAGGACATTTGTCACAGCTATCCAGCTTGCATTGTAGGCACATTTGAGAATTACTGCATCAGCTGTTTACTCGCCAACTGTCTCATTCACCTCTCTGCTCTTGCAAATGGACAGTGTTTTTGGCACTTACTGTAATGCCAAACACTTATTCTGAAGATTTGACACCTGGAAGGAAACCATCAACTGTGTTCCTTCTAAACAACACACATTTGCCAGTGTGTCCTCTGTTGCTTTTCTGAATTCTGGACAAACTGTACTGATGAGTCATCAGTCTGCTCATCTCATGACATGGTGTGAAATGTTCCCCTGTCATTATCCTTCTCTCCTACACTGTCAAAGTGAACATCACAAAACCAAACTGCTTCATGCAACTCAGTATTATTTCATTGTAAGATCAAGCTTTGACATGGCCACATTGATAGTGTTGCTGCCAGGTTTCAGCCTTCACTCTCTCATGTCTTAGTATTAAAACCATATTTTGCTTTTATTCCCCCCTGTGTGCTTACCAGCAGGGCTGTAAATATGTGGGTGTGTGTTTTTGTAAGCAATGCCAATGGCCCAAGGGATTCTGACTATCCATGGCCAAATCAATTCAGGCACTTTGGAGATTAATTTCAGGCAGGGCTGCCAAAGTGTAACATATATCACAGGCTATAAACTTTTAAAACATTTTCTTCTGGCAGCTCTTCTGTAGATGGTAAAATCTGTTCTAATGTGTCGTCTAACTTATTTAGATACATCTTTGGCATTCACTGTAGGTTTCATGGCTTAATATGAGTGAACTCAATCACATGCAAGCATACATTGTAAGCAGAGACTTTGTCACTGTCATTGTGACTCTCTTTTCAGACATTAAGTATGCCAGTTCAGACATAGTGTGTGTTTTAGGACCCTAACCGTCTACTTAATCACTGCCAACCATCTCTCAAATTGTACCATCTATTTTTACGATGTTGGAATTATATTTTACTGCCTACCAGGGCAGTAGCCAGGATTTAAAGAATACTGAGTCCAAATTAGCCGAGCACAGCTTCAAAAATGTTTGACACAGCCACCCAAAAATGTCTTCTCTGACATTTCTAAATTGTATTAATGAAATTCACCTTTCATTTGGAGCTTAACATTTGGTGACTCCTTGAAGGAAACATGTTTGAACTTCCCACCAGCACAACACTGTAATCCATTCCAATAAATATAAATGAATGTCAGTACTGAGCACATTTGAAGTGTCAATAGATTCAAATTGACACCAAGTAATCACAACAGTTTTGATTGTATCAGACAATGTTCCTGAGCAGATGAAGTTTGCCCAGTTGTCATGTGATTCTAGATTACAGTTTTTCTGAGCACTTTGCTGATATTGCATCCATATTGGCCTCAAAATTGATATTTAAGGTTTTTTTCTTGAACTTGGAAACACTATTTGATGAAGCTGTCCCTAAAGGTTTTATTTAGTAGCTGTTCTGGAGTTTTTGATCATTTACCACCATCTTTCAATGTTTTAAACTTGTTAATTCACAATTATAATTACCCTAATTGCTGTGCCGCATAACTTTAGCAAAACAAAAAATGGACATGACGTTTACTGTGGTTTGTTATTTGTCTTGTGAAATTAAAACTCTCTACAAGCAGATTTCACACAGCATGAAGAATGTTAAAAAAAACTGTCTTTTTTTTTTTTAAAGTATGCTTCGGAAAATGTTCAACAGTTAAGTGAGGGTAAACCCTGTAGGATTTGCAGTTAATGGTCTTGCAAAAAGCTGTAAAACATGCAAAAACACTGATACGGCCTATATGGCAGAGCAGTTATGGTTGATTTACTGCTGTTCCTAAAAAGCATTTTTATGGTATAGGAGGTTTTTAAAAGTGTGTGCCTTTGGGAGATTGTGGCAAGTGATAGCACATTAACATTTCAAGTTTATACATGAACCATTAAAGCTGTTTCCACGGGGGCTGCCTAGAATCATACACTGTATTTTCAAGAGCACATGGGCCAGTCATAGTTTTATGTTCATCTGTCTGAGGGCTCAATGGAAGGAGTTTATTCTCTTAATCCATATCTGCAATGTATGTGCATATATTTCATATGTCTGTGTAATGAGTAGTGTAATGTGTAGTTTTTCCTAGAGAAGTACTTTGACTTGACATTGATGTGATGCTTCCTCATCACTAGAGGGCAGTGGAGGCACTCTTTGTACACAAATTAACTACTGTCTTTGCTGCAGAGTGCAAGTGAGGCCAAGGGATGAATCAGATCAGATACTAATCTCAGTCTGTGTTGCTAAAACTGGACACTCTACTTACACTGCTCAATGACAACAAATACCAGGAATGCCCAGAAATGATGCCAGCTATTCTCAGGACTGTAGGAAAAAACAAAATCCCCTCTTTCTTCGGGCTAGACTTCCCCTTCGTAATTAGCAGATAAATATGAACAAGGAGTCATACAATCTGACTACGTGATGGAATTTGAGAGTTGTCTAAGTGCCCATATTGCAAAAAATAAGCATGTCAACAAAAACATGTTTACAGAATTAATTGAAATTACACCAAATTAGGCCAATAAACTCAATAATAAGTATTTTCACATGATAATGACTTGCCAAAATATGCTTTTAATTGACATCTCTACTTATGTACTTACAACATATATTATTTTTCAGTCATTATTAATAATACTATCATGATAATATAGTTCTCCTTTCAGTGTATTATGTCCAAAAGTAATAATAATAATAGATTACATTTGTATAGCGCCTTTCAAGAGACCCAAGGCCGCTTTACATGGTGAATAAACAAACAAACAAATAAACAAACAAACAAAAGGGGAAAATAATAAAGTACAGAAAGGTTATTATAAACTCTGATACCACAGACGCACTTTAAATCCTCAGAATATGGAGAGAAAATAGGAATTTCAGTTATTAAACTCTAAACTTGAGTTTGTTCTTTTGTTCACGTTCAAAAGTCACGTTCAAAAGTTGTTAAAACTGTGTTTACAGTGGTCTGTAGTGCATAGTGCAGGCCACATGGAAACATGGGATTTATCAGATAATCCGTTCTGAGGTTTTTCTCAATTCTCTTTCAGTATGGAAACCAGATGCAAATAGGAATTCATTTGATTGATAAATGTTTATAAAACATAAGGGAAGTGTAGAAACATTGAAATAGCAAACAGAGCCAAATATTTATTCCGGTCTGCCATTCATTATATTGGAATGAATGCACAACCTTGTACAGTATAACATTACATATCTAAAAAGTCTCTCACGGTGTATATATTTCACATATTTTATAATTTTGTTTCGCAGTGCTTTGAGTTTTCCATGCTTAGAATTGACAAAACTGCAGCCAAACTTACTTTAAACTATAATAGAGCTGCTCTTGTTTTTTTTGAAGATCTGCAGCTATGCCTATATCCATCAAGCTATGATATAACTGCCAAATCCTATATTAAGAAGACGAGTACTCAAAGAGCACTCACCTCACCAAGGATGCACAACCATTCTGTTGTTTTTACGATAAAAAATGCTAACACGTGTTTTACATTATGGAGAAGGATCGTATGTTCAATACCTATCATTGATTTTACTTATGGTTTTCTGTTCAGACATTTACCAAGTCACTCCCTGCATGCCTTGCAATACTGATCAGCTGCCACTTGGAGCCTTTAAATGTTACATTCAATGTTGTCACTTGACACCTCAAATCAACACCCATTGTCTTTTTGTTAAACAGTCAACACTGGGCAAACAGGTTAATTAGTTAAAGATGATATCATAACATTTTTTTAATGTGATTAGGTGAACCTACACTCACGCCACAAATACCATTTTTGGTTGGATATCGTATCTGTAATATATTCGTATATGATGCTTTCAGTACACCTCAAATGAAATTTAGGAAACACCCTTTGTCTTGGGCAACTGCTGTTGGCGACAAGAGTCCAGGCCAGGAAACAGTCCAGCACATGACCTCTGTAAAATCACAACATGATGTTTTTGATATATTTATGTAATGTATTGATTAGAGAGCTGAGACATGCTGGTACCTGCTGACAGAGCTGATTTCCTGTTTCCATATGCTAATGAGCTGGTGGGTGTGGCTTTTTATTCAGTGGTGGTGGTATTGATCTTTTCATATCAGCAATAAAATACTTATTCCTTTAATTAGGCTATGTCTCTTGGACGTTAACCGGCCAACGGGTAAACACATGAAAAGAAAACATGACATGTGATCGTAAAAGTGTGAAAGGCGTGTAATTGTAATCAGTAAATGTTGATCTGTGCTTGAGCTGTGAATGATTAAACATTTTGACAAAGATGGATAGCTGTGGGGATAAGATATTTGAAGGGTAATGGGGGGTGGGGTGTCACCTT